AGCTGGCATTCAAACCCAAGGCTGCCCTCAAACCCTCCTCTGCTAAATTTTGACACTGCTACTGTTTGCTTTTTGCTACAAAGCTTCTGCAAGGCAGCATGGGTCGTGGTTAAGAATGTGGGCTGCCAGTTGGGGAGGATGGAAAAGTTCTGGAGATGGAGGATGGTGATGGTTGCACAACACTGTGAATGTACTTAACGCCACTGAACTGTACACTTAAAAATGCTTAATATGTTAACCATTATTAAATATTAAATATATATATTTAACACAAAGATATTTTAAGAATCGATCAGGTACTAGGCCATTAAGAAACTGGCAACAAATTTTTAAAAATAGATATCATCCAGGCCACATTCTCTGAACATGGTAAGATTCAATTAGAAGCTAATAAAAAAAAAACTCCCCCCTCCCCCAAAAAATAATAACGTGGGCTGCTTGCGTGTCCCTGCTCCCCCACTTACCAGCTTTGTGACCCTGGGCAGGCTTCAGAGCCTCTCTGTGCCCATCCATAAAATGGGACACACAAGGCACCTCCCTTTGGGTTTGTGTCCAGGACTGAGTGAACTCAAATCATGGATGGCCCAGACCAGGGGGCAGCAAACAGTAAAGGGCCAGACAGCAAATGTTCCTGGCTTTACAGGTATTTGTCACAGCTGGTGAACTCTGCCAGTACTGTGCAGAAGCAGCCACAGACACTAGTACACAAATGGGCATGGCCATGTGCCAATAAAACTTTATTTACAAAAACAGGCAGCAGACGGAAGGGCTGTAGCTTGCCAGCCCCTGGCACACACCCTGGCACTTGGTGAGTGCTCAGCCAATGGTAACTGTTATAATTAAGACAAACAGCGTTTCTCTCAATTCATTTCTGTAGACCAATGAGAGCTACAATGTTGCAGTTCCGGAAATAAATACTAACACCAAGACCAGAGCAGAGCCCCTGTCCCCAGGGGAGAGTGGCCCCGCCCTTACCCTGAGCACCCAGGTGCTCTCACCGCCGCCCTCTCTCTGCTGCTTTCAGTTTGACTCCGAACCTGCAGGCTAATGACCTCCCGGGCTACTCCCTGCAAGAACTCGGCCTTCCCCCCTCCTCCAGGAGGGGTTTCTAACCCCTGCCCTTCACAGCATGAGCCCCCAGGGCCCCCTCCTTGTCCCTGGCCCTCCCTGCTGGCCCATGGTCCCTGGGCTGTCCACCTGACCTTGGAAAGGCATGAGCACAGAAAGCATTTTCTGATGGCACCCAGGGCTAGAGTGACACAGCCAAGGTCCACCCCCCACCCCCCGCCAGGCCTGGGGGCCTTTGCTGAGCCTCGGATTACAGCAACTCCAACGGCTACTGCTGGCTTTAAGGAACGTGTTTCTTTTAGGAGTACTGAAAAGGCTCCTCTGATTGATTTCTCACACCCGCCCTGTAGGAAGGTTGTCTTTCCATTGCAGGGGTCCGTGTGCGTCACGCAGTAATACCTAGGCTCCAGATGGAGGGACCCCCACCAGTGAGTTCCGCCTCCGCCTCTACCTCCAGACGCAGCCCCTGCTTGTCAGGTGCTCACGTAATCCTAACCCTGACTGGTGATGTGCAGCTTAAATGAGATAATTCACGGCAGGAGTGGGAGTTTAAGCAACGATAGCTATTTTCCTTATGTGAACATCACAGGAAAGGAACTGGGCTTAGAGAGGTTAAGTGACTTGCCCACAGTCACACAGCCAGGAGGGTCTGAGCTGGTCCTCAGTGCAGCTCCTCTGACCCAGCCACGTTCCTTCACAGCTCAGCTCACCTAGCCGGTGGCTGCTGTTCATGCGCATTAGTTCCATTAAGAGTTTTCCTAGGACCTGGGTGGAAATGACTGTAACCGCCACACCCTAACCACCGAGCAGGAAAGAAGTCCAGATGATAGAGGCATCAAAGGAACTGCTCCAGGACCAGTGGGGTGGCCTTCACTACATGGACCGCGAGCTCAGGAGTCTCGCACGCAGCTCTCAGCACCTTCTCACACAAGTCTGCACATGTCACACCAGCCAACATGGCACCCACTCCCTTCATCTTTCATTCCCACTTATTGAATATTTAGCTTATTAGCCTGATGTTGTTAGCTAGGGAAGGGCACAGAAGACCTCTAACTAGGGCGTTTGCTCTGTGACAAAGCTAAAGGGCTCATTTTTTAAATCACTTATCACATACTCCCTCATCATCATGACTACTTATTAAGTGCCTCCTGTGCCCAGAGACCACACCCCTGACCCCCACACCAACCCAGCCAAAGGGAGAGCACTGCCCCCATTTGTACAGGAAATGGAGACTCAGAGAAGTTAATCCTCTTGCCCAAGATCACATGGCCTTAAGGAACTGAGCACAACTTCAGAAGCCCTGCAGGTTGACCCACCCACCTTGGAGGAGACTGACCAAGGAGAACCAGGATTCACTGCACCCATTCCCAATCTTTCCAAGGGAGGCACCCCATTTTAGTTAGAAAGCCCAGGTGGGAGGCACTTGCCCAATCACAGCTGAGTGAGGGGCAGACCCGAACGGGAACCCAGGCAGTCTGGCTCCAGAGCCAACAGACAGGCAGGGTCCCTCCCCCAGGGAATCCCACCCATCGCAGTAGCGCTGACTGCTGGCTTATGGCTTCCTCAGAAATTGCGCCTTCTGCCGCTCCTCTCCCAGCCGCATCCCACCCACCCTGTACACTGAGAGAGCGGGGCCTCCATCCTGACTCCTCCTCATGAAACCTTCTGGGCAGGCCAAGCTGGCGTGCGCTCTCCTCCCAGTGCATCTCTCTCTTACAGCGCTGGCCGTATCGGTGCCAGTGTGACTGTCCTCTGGGAAGATGGAGCCCCGGTTATATCAGAGCTGCCTCTCAGACCTCACTGTGTCCCCAGTCTCTAGTGGGCAAGGTCAGCTTAAGAAAAACCTACACAAATATCATACTATACATGGACATAAAGTTCTAGGAGAACACAGACAAGAGAACCATACCATCTGTTTGGCAGAGTCAGGGAACACCACAAACAAGTAACATGAGTGCTGGGCCTTATCGTATGAATAGGAGTTCTCCAGACAGACAAGGGAGGGAACATTTCTGGGAGAAAAAACAGCATGTGGGGGAAAACCTAAGTGTGAAGACATGTCTGGGGCACACGAGTGGCTGAGAGTGTGGCAGGGAGAGGGAGAGTGGGCCAGGGAAGCCAGGAACTTGTGAGGTCATGGGGGCAGTGGGAGCCACAGATGGTTTGTGGAGGAGGAGAATGGTAAAGATCTCATTTGTTGAGCCCACACTCTGACCCTCCAGGGGACTTCTTGCTGTGAAAGGACTCAAGGTGAGGGTTACCGGCAAGCTCTGGAAAGAGATGTCCAGCGTTACAGACCATGTCCCGGAGTCTCAACAACTCTGCAACCATCCATAAGCCAGGGGGAGTTTTCTCCCAGCAGCAGGTCTCCTGGGAGTCGACAGGGCCCTGCTGGGCAAGCATCCTGAGGCGGCGGCCCTGACCACCCCACCCCCTCCCCAAACCTGCCCCTCCTCCTCCACCATCCTGGCGCATGGAATCCACACCCACCTGCCCAAGGTCCCAGAGGAGAAGCCAGCTCCTCCCAGAGCCTCGCCCACACAGGTGGGTCACCCTGAGTTAGGCGAGGCCCCCTTAGGCCCGATATTTACTGTGGGTGGAGCCCTGCCCGAGGGGCTGAGGCTGCCCCTGCCCTCCCAGACCTCCTAGTCTGGTCTGGGAGACAGAAGCCACCAGACAGGACAGCAGTGTGTCCTGCTCTGCCACACAGGGAAGCTCAGGCGGGGCAAGGGGCTGTCCCTGCCCTTGGTCTAGAAGGAGCTGGCCAGTTGAAGGAAGGGCGTTCCTGGAGAGGGAACAGCACCAGCAAAAGCCAAGGACGGTGTGCCTGTGAGTGCGGGTGGAGGGGTGGGGGCGGCGGAGGAGGGCCAGCGGTCAGATACAGTATCTCCGGAGTTTAAAGCGCAGGGCAGAGGCTGGCGGAGAGCCCAGGCTGCCAAGCCATCAGGAGAAGGGCAGACTAGGATGTGTGGGGAGGGGCGGAGGTGGGGGGGTGCTTCCAAGGCGAAAGACTCCAGCCTGGCAAGCGGCCTCTAACAGAAATGACGAGGCTGGATCCTCAAAGCCCGCAGCAAGGAGGGTGGAGTGATGGAGCGAGGGGGCTGGGGGCGAGGGCGCGGCGCATTAACGCAGGCCCTAGAAGCCGCCGGCCCGAACGCAGGGCGCCCTGCAAGGTGCCCGGCCCCGCAGGAGCCAATCCTTGTGCGCCATCTCCGGTGGCCCAGTGCGCCCAGGGCGCGCCGGCCGGCCAGGACGGTGGGTACCAGCCTTTCTTCCCATCTCTGCAGCCTCCTCCCCGGCGCCCACGTGGGCGGAGCAGCGCGGGGGTGTGCGTGGCAGGGGCCGTGGCAGCGTGTACTGTGCGTGGGGTGGGGATGCCGGCAGGGCGGCCTCGCCCTCTCGGTCCCCCGCCGCCGCGGCGCGGCCCGGGACTCCATCCTCTGTGCCACCTCGGCCGGGATCGGGGACCCTGACCTACTCAGCGGGTAGGACACGGAGGGAACCGGCCGGCCACGCCCCCCGCGCCACTCCCCGGAGGCACCCAGTGGGTCCCCCTCCCCCTCCTTGGCTCGGGGGCAGAATGAGGAGTGGAAATGGGGGTGGCGTGAGGGAGAGAGGGGGGCTGTGGGCGGGACGGGAAGGGGGCGTACGGAGGGAGGCGACGCAGAGTCCTCCTGCTGGGAGACGCTGCAGGGGGATTTGGAGGGGGTGGGGGATGGGAACGGAAGGGTGGGGGACCACGGAGGTGAGATGAGAGAGTGGCAGGGGGATCAGGAGGGGGCGCCGAGGCTGGAAATGGGGAAGGTGGGCGATGGGGCGGGGCGGCACCGGTCACCGCGTCCCTTGCCGCCGGGTCCGCCCATCGGTCGCGGTGTCCGCGGGTCCTCTTCGGCCAGCGCGCGCCTCCCGCCCCCCGGCGCACCTGTACCCACCTGCTCGGCGCGCAGGCCCGAGCCGGGCAGCAGCAGCAGGCGTAGCGAGCGCAGCCCCGCGTCGCATCCTCCGGCCGCCCCCTCCCCGCCCCGAGCTGACGCTGCCGCCGCCCCCGCCTTAAAAAGGACAAAACGGAACAGAAAAAGGATGCGTGCAAAAAAAAAATCGTAAGAAGCAAATGAAGAGGGGCAGTCGCGCGCGCGGCTCGGCGGGGCGGAGGTCGAGAGGCAGCGGCGCCGCTGACCGTGCTCGGGGCAGCCGGCCGGCGCGTGCCGCACGCTCCCGGCTGCAGCTCCCGCGGCTGCCGGCACCGGCTCGCCGCGGGGCCCCGCCCCTCCCCCGGGGAGCCCCTCCGATTGGCCCGGCCTCCTGCCAGTCAGAGGGAGGGCGCGGCGCTCGCCCCGCCCCGCCCCCGCCCGAGGCCGGCGCCGGGAGCGGGTCTGCGCCCGAGAGAGGAGGCGCGGGGAGCCCGAGCGTGCGCACTGGGCCTCGGGCCCGAGCCGCTGCGCTCGGGAGGGGCTGGGGTCCAGCGGCTGAGCGTCCACCTGCGGTGCGGGGTCGGGACGCCAGGCGGGTCGGAGCTGCTGCCCTCGGGAGGGGCAGGAGTCCAGCGGCTGAGCGTCCACCCGCTGCGCGGGGTCGGGACACCAGCCAGGTTGGAGCTGCTGCCTCCGGGAGGGGCTTTCGGGCTCTAGTCAGGGCTAAGGAGGCGCGTTCCTGTCCTCAGGGGGCTCATATCCAGTTGGGGAGGGTGGTATATATAACCTGGGACTGTGGCCGTCCTAGGCCGTCGGTGGTCGGGGGAGACATAACCACCGCGGGTATTGTACCCTTTGTACAGGTGGGGAGCCTGAGGGTCAGAGGGTAAAGGAAGAGGTTGAAGGTGACACAGCAAGTGGCAGAGCTGGGAGTCTTACTCTGAGCCCATAGTCTTCACCACTGGGCAGAGCCACGTCACCAGACAATAGTGGAATGAATGATGTGATGTCCAGCTGAGGCTTGAAGGAAGGGTAGGACGTAACTAGGCAAAGATTCATTTGTTCAGTTTCGTTCAACAAATATTTATTGAATGCCTGCTATGTACCGGGTAGCCATTAAGATCTAGAGATGCCGCAGTGAACAACAGAGACAAAGCTGCTGCCCTCCTGGGGCTTACATTCTAGTGAAGAGAAGGGAGGGAAGAGCATCCACATAAAGAGAACAGCATGGGTAAACACCTGATTGGAGGAAAATGTGGCACATTTGAGAATCTAAAAAAGAGCAGTGTTTCTGGGCCCCAGAGAGGTGAGTGGGAGAGTGGGGGATGATGAGGATGGGGAGGTGGGCAGGGGCCAGCACATGTAAGATCTTGTAGGCAGTGGGAAAGAATTTGGAGTTTGTCCTGAGACAGTCTCACCAGGGAAGATGGTTGGGTTTACATGTGTAAAATGTACGGGTCAGGATAAACTATGTTAAGCCCCAGTGACAGACAGACCCACATGTTTTATTTCTTGCTCACACTGCACATCCCACGTGGGCCAGCAGGGGGCTCTGCCCGCGCTAGTGAGTCAGGAGCCGAAGTGACGGAGGCTCTCTCTTAGCCGTGTACCCACAATCGTTTGGATAGTATGAATGAAAGGTGACAGTCTGTACTGGCTTTTAAAGCTTCCACTTGGAAGAGACACATCACTTCTGCTCTCTGTTCACTGGCCAAAGCGTCACAGGGCCATGCCTGACCTGAAACAGGAGGGGGAGGTGCAGACTTCCCGTGTTCCAAGTAGGAGGGAAGACCCGGGGCATCTGTGAGCAGATCTGAGGCTCTCCTTAACAGATGCCCCGACTGCCTGTGGAGCGCGGACTGAAGGAGGCGGGTGTAGATCGAGGCGAGTGGGCGTGGCTTTGGTGACAAGGGAACGGAGCATTAGAAAGGGTCAGGCAGTGGAATTGGCAAGACTTGCTCAAGGCTTGGACATGGGCGGGAGAGAGGAGGCTTCAGGGATGGGGCCAGTGTTATGGGTTGAATCGTGTCCCCAAAAACATCATACGTTGAGGTCCTAACTCCCAGTACCTCAGAATATCAGTTTGTTTGGAAACAGGGTCCTTGCAGATGTAATAGTTAAAATGAGGTTGTGCTGGAGTGGGGTGGGGGGACCCTAATCCAATATGGCTGGGGTCCTTGTAGAAAGGGGAGGTGGAGACACAGAGTCTCGCGCACAGGGAGAACGCCATGTGAACATGAAGGCAGAAATCCGGGTGATGCACCAACAGGCCAGGGGACACCGAGGATGCCAGCAAAGCCCCAGCAGCTGGGAGAGAGGCCAGAAAAGATCCTTCCCTGGCAACTTCAGAGGGCACACGACCCTGCTGACACCTTGATCTCAGACTTCTAGCTTCCAGAACTGTAAAACAATAAGTTTCTGTTGTTTAAGCCGCTCAATTTGGGGTTCTTTAATACATATATATGTATCATTAGGGATTATATTTGGCTGTGAGTAATCAAGATGCCAACTATACAGTGGGTTAAACAAATTAAGTTTTTTTTTTCTCACTCAGCAAGAAACCCAAATGTTGGTCATCCCTTACTTTATCCTCTTTTGCTCCTTCATCCTCAGCGTGTAATTTTCTTCCTCAGGGTATGCTCACGGTGGCAAGAGGGCTGCCCTTCTCCCAGCATCCCATCACTATTCCAGCTGAGAAGAAGGGGAAGGGCAAAAGGCACACCCCAACTGAGCTGGCTCCCTTTAACTGCTTTTCTGGAAATTCTTCCCAGAGACCTCTGTTTTATCTTTGACCAGAACAATGTCACATGGCTACCCCTCGCTTAAGGGAAATAAAAAAAATTTAAGAAGGGCACACGGCTGCCTGAAACAAAATCAGGGTTCTGTTAGTGAGGCAGAGGGGAGAATGGATTTTGAGCAGGCAACTAGCAGTGGTGGATCCAGGTTCAGTAGGACCCAGAGCTTCTACAATTTGGGGGGTCCTCTTTAAGAAAAAGAATAAAAAGTTAGAAATACAAAATTAGGTACAAAAGTGAATATTTAGAATAATAAAAAAACACAACAAAATTTGAAATGTTTCAAGTTGACAGATATCACAAATATTACAAAATCCAGAAAACTAATATAATAATTTTTTAAATTAACTACCTGACATCCACCTTTATGATATCTTTTTCTACATTTTTTTTGGCTTCTTCATCTTCATCCTTTTGGATTATCTCTTCATAGGACAATGACTTTGTAATAATTTTTCTATGGAGAAAATAGAAAGATTATTCAGAGTAATCCTCCAATGATGGAATTTTTTTCAATGTTAGAACACTTTCCTTCAGCCTCATAACTCATTATTGGTAGTCATGTACATTTTTAGGATTGTTGTCAAATTTGGGAAAACCCTTATCATTTTTTCATAAATCAACACTAAGATTTGAAAGAATGACTCTTTTTTGCAGTTTCCTTATTGTAATTATATTAATTTTTGTGATAAAAGGCAATTGTAGAAATTCAAACCAGAAGCCGACTCGACCAGCACTTCCTAGACCTCAGTGCCCTCACGGGCATGTGGGGAAGCATGTGAAAAATGCAGATGCCCAGACCCCTGTATCTTGCTGAAGCGGGGCCTCTGAGTAGCAGAGCCCAGGAATCGGTATTTGACTGAGTGCCCCAGCTGATTCCACTGTCTGCTAATGCCTGAGAGGTCCCGAATTAGGTGAGTCAGGCTTGCCTTTTGACTCTGAGTGTCCACTCCATCAGGACGACCCTACGAGGCAGGTACTATCACTTTCTCCATTAGGGATGAGGAGGCCCCGGGCCCAGGACACACAGCAAGCAGCAGTGTGGGAGCCTAGAGTAGGTCCCTCTCCGAAGCGGCCTTCCCTGGCACTGCGTGACTTGTGGTGTGTGAGCCCAGGCCTGGAAGTCACGAGCAGGCACATTTCAGCTCAGCGGGAGGACAAAGAGACGCCGCCCTCTGAGGAGTTGTGAGCTCCCGTCCCCGTGACGGGCGGTTCACTCCTGAGGGTGTCAGAGAAGGGATTCCGCCAGGGTGGAACTTGAGGTCCTGCCCACCTGTGTAGGAGTCGGGCAGCCTGGGTAGGATCCCAGTTCTGACACTTACTAGCTGGTGACCGTAGGCAAGTTAGTGCCCATTTACTTTCCTTGGTTTCCTCATCTGTAAAATGGGGCTTATGAGAGTAATAACCTCATGGTTTTGGATGGGGATTAAATGAATTAATATGTATATGAATCTGTGTTAGTTTTCTAGAGCTGCCATAATAAATTACCACAAACTGGGAGGCTTAAAACAACGGAAATTTGTTCTCTCACAGTATCGCAGGGCATAAGTCCCAAATCAAGGTGTTGGCAGGGGTGTGCTCCCTCTGGAGGCTGTAGGGGAAAGTTCTTTCCTGCCTCTTCCAGCGTCTAGTGGCTCCAGACACTCCTTGGCTTGTGACCGCATCACTCCAGTCTCTGCCTCCATCTTCACGTGGCTTCTCCTCCGTGTCTGTGTCTTCTCCTCTTTTCTAAGGACACTGGTCACCAGATTTAGGGCCCACCCCGATAACCCAGCATGATCTCATCTCAAGATCCTTCACTTGATGACATCTGCAAAGACCCTTTTTCCAAATAAGGTCACATTTACAGGCCCCGGGGTGTTATTACAAATTACACAGCTATTTAACTACAATTGTGATCATTCCTAAGGAGGAGGAAAAGGTGCTAGGAGATGACGGAACATGGAGCTTGGCTTGGTCTGAGGGTCAGGGAGTCTCCTCGAGAAAGTTATCTCTGAGTATTAGCTCGCTAGAAGAAGAGGAAGAGGAAGAATGTTCCAGGGAGAGTGAACAGCGGTATGAAGGCCCCAAGTTTGAACTTACCTTCCAATTGATAGGGAGCCATCGAGAGTTCTTGAGGAATGGTGTGAGTGACAGGATTAAAGAAGCCCTGGTGAGCACTTGCAGAAGGCCAGGCCGACCAGCTCCATGACGATTCCCCAGACACCTGCCTAGGCGCCAGGGATGTGGTGTGGAAACAGCTCGTCTCTGCCCTCAAGGGTTCATGGGCCAGTGGGAGAGACAGAAGGTAGATCACTAGGATAGGGTAGCCTGGGCAAGAAGAGTGCAGGGGAAGGGACTCCTAAGGCCACTTAGGGAGTCAGGAGGGGCTTCCTGGAGGAGGAAACACTTGTGCTGAGGTCAGACAAGGAGGAAGGAAGCAGGCCATAGAAACCGAGGAATGTAAAGTTCAGCAACTTGCCTAAGGTCACCAGCCGATAAGTGGCAGAGCGGGCATTCAAACCAGCCAGCCTGGCTCCCGCGGTGGCAGACACCACTAT